ATTGATTTGTGAATATTGTACCAAAACCTTGTATTCCTAGAATAAACCCCAGTTGATCGTGGTGTATGATCTTTTTAATATATTGCAAGTATTCTGTTGAGGATTTTAGCATCTATGTTCATCAGGGATATTGGCCTGTAATTCTCTTTCTTTGAGTGCCTTTATCTGGTTTTAGAATTAGGATAATATTGGCCTCATAAAGAGCTTAGAAGTGTTCCTTTCTCTCTGATTTTTGGGAATAGTTTAAGGAAGAGGTTTTAGTTCTTTGAAGGTTTGGTAAAACTCCCCTGTGAAGCCGTCTGGACCAGGGCTTTTGTTTGCTGGGAGCTTTTTTATTACTGCATCTATTTCCTCAGTTGTTATTGGCCTATTTGGGTTTTCTGATTTCTTCCTGATTCAGTTTTGGAAGATCGTGTTCTAGGAATTTTTCCATTTCATCCACATTGTCCAGCTTGTTGCCATATAGTTGCTCAGAATATTTTCTTACAATTTTTTGTATTTCTGCGGTGTCAATTGTTACTTCACTGCTTTTGTTTCTGGTTTTATTTTTTTGTTGTAGGTTCTCTGTTTCTTGATAAGTCTGGCTAAAGTTTCATTGATCTTTTCAAAGTACCAGCTCTTGGTTTCATTGATCATTTGTATTGATTTTTTAAAATCTATGTCATTTCTTTCTACTCTAATCTTTATTATGTCCGTCCTTCTACTTATTCTGGGCTTTTCTAGTTGTTCTGTTTCTAATTCTTTAAGTTATAGGGTTAAATAGTTTATTATTAATTTTTCTTGTTTTTTTGAGGTAGGCCTATAGTGCTATGAGCTTCCCTCTCAGGACTGCTTTTGTTGTGTCCCAGAGATTTGGGGTGGTTGTGTGTTCATTTCCATTTGTTTCCAGGAAGTTTCTCCCTATTTAAATAACTTTAATAGAATTCCCAAATTAAGCAGACCTGCATGCCACTAGTTTCCTATGTGAGACTGCACCACCGACTTGCTTCTGCAGATAGCAAAGCCGCTCGTTAGTGCTTGCTCTCTGTAGGAAGGAGATCTGACTGCCAAGATCCAAGCGCTAGCTTTCGGAAGGCCCATGCCCCATTTTTGGCAGTCAGATCCCCTGTGATCCCCAAGAGTAAAACCACTGTATACGGTTGCCACAAAGGGACCACAGTGCAGGAGGTGCTGGATGTCATCTGGGCTCTTTTCCCCCTGGAGGAGCTGTCAGCTCGGGAGCCCTCTCTGCATGGCGCTGCACTGGCCTGGGGGAGAGGCCATGTAGTCAGCATTGTGCCGTTCCGTTACCTTCCCACTGCAGCTGCCTTTTCTCTATGGTACAGGGGTTACTTCAGCCTCATTCCCATGTTCTAGGATTGATTCTCTCAGTGGTGTTTTGTCCATGATAGTTGTTAGTTGTCCTTGTGAGGCGGAACAGAGTCAGGAATAACCTATGTCACCATCTTGGAGGTTTGGTAAAACTCCCCTGTGAAGTGACCATATTACTGCATTCTTGGACTGTCCTCTGTGGCAGAAAATTCGTATTATTTCAAGATAAACCTGATTTCTAAATACTGCAGTCACTTGAAGTCAGACCTAAAAAGTGATGGGTCATGCAGAGTATAATTCTAAAACTGTGAGTCATCATCCGTTTGGCCACACACTCTTTTTGATTGAGAATGCTATTAAACCGACAAAACCTAGAAAAAGGAGACGGGGGATATTTTGCATTTGAAAGCACAGGCCTGTTGCTGTGAGATGGGAACTTTGAAGAGTTTTGTAAAAAACAACTGGAGTTTCTAAGCAGCACTGGAGTTTCCTTAGAATGCTATGCACACATGGAGACTGTGTTGAAAGGAGGGGAAGTCTCGCCTCCAATCCCTCTTCATCAGCCCCACTTTCTCCATTTTGAATGTAAGCTTAGTGAGGGCAAGGGTTTGTGTTTCATTCACTGTTGTTCCTAGAACAGGTTCTGGTACTTACTAAGCCTGAATGAATGAATGATGATATAATATTGGATTCCCAAGTTAAGAGTTCAGTTATTAAAAAGTACTCGTGTGCTAGAAACAATTTTTAAGAACCATTACCACAGGTAATTCAAGTGGAGAGATTTCTGGGTGCATAAGAGATGGTTAGGTTTTCTTTGAGATTTAGACAAATCTCAGAATTAGTAAAACTGTACCGATTCTGTTTGAGACTGAGCTCAGACAGAATCTCAGGGCAAAGCACAGAGAGCACACAGTGTGGCCGCACAACGGTCAATCTCTGAAATGGCAGCTTGGGTCAGGAAGCCCAGCGCCCCTTCAGTCAGGAGCTCCTTGCTGATGAATGAGGCTGTCAAAGTGGTCATGCAGCTGAGCCTCTATAAAAGAAAGGACAAGAATAAAACCTCTTCTATAATATCACTCTTGCTGTATGCACCTATGGGTGGCCACAGAAACAGTGATTGATTACTGGTCCTGGATTCATTCGTTGGCTAAAATAAAGTGCCTTAGCTTCTGGGTGAAATGAGAACTGTCAACACAGAACAATACGACAAAGAGAACATATTCAATTCTGCAGACACATCTTTCAATTATGCTGAACACAGCCAAACAAAACCAAAAAAAAAAAAAGTCTTAGAAAACAAAGAGAGGCACAGAATTTGTGTAAAGATATTTTTTTTTTAAAAAAAAGGCATTTTATCTAGCAAGGGCAATACAAAGGGGTTATATAAATTTATTTTTTCATATAACAATTGATTAGAAAATTCCCATTTTCAATGTTTAATTCCATCTCTCATTTTAAAAAATCACTAAAAGGACAAAAACCCACACAAAAAATACAATCTGTATTTGTTCTATATTTACAGATAATTGGTCACTATTAAGGCACAGATTGATTAAAAATTACCATTTATTCAAATAATCCAAATATTTTGTGCATCATATAACACTGACAACACCGTGTACTGTAGTGTCATATTACCTTCCTTGCATAAGAGAAAGTGAGAAAAGTAATTTCCAGTGTTTTTTATTTATTTTTAACCACCCTATTTAATCTAGTTTAATTGGGACAGTTTTCCCTTTGGCGTAAAGCACTGTTCATAAAACCTCCATCAGCTTAATACTGCACATTCATCCCATCCTCCTCATGTTGCAAATGCATCATAGAGGGCTGGGAAAAGAGCTCCAAATGCTTTGTAATCGGGAAAGTCTCATTAAAGAAAATGATAAAATTTAGAGCACCAAGTTGTTGAACAGGAAACAAATCTGGAATTCTTGTGCTGAATGTGTAGCATGATGTGTTTGTACAGCCACATAAGATAAGGAGGTCCATGTGACCTGTACTTGCCAAGGGAGCAATTTAGTTTAGAAATGAGCATCCCTTTAGTGCTGCGATCATTGATAATTTTATGACAGGTCCATCATCTATGCCTTCAAAGTAACCAATACAATTTTTTTAAAGTGAAAATATTTCTGTGTGCAAAATTTCTCTTCAATTCATATTCTTTCATGGTAAGACTTAGGCATGGAAAAATGCCAGGCAAGTATTTGCGAATCTGCATTTGTATGAAAGTCCCCAATTGTTATGTGATCTAATGCCGTCTGCTTAACAGCATGCAATAGTGGTTTATGTCCACGTAGAAAATCTTGAGTAATGAACATAAATAAGTCATTACAGTACAGGTAATTCACAACATTTCCTATGGGAAAGTTTTTCAACAAATTAATACACTTGGAAATAATATTGCTTTGAAGAAAGGGAGGCACTTAGTGATTTTCTTCATGAATTGAAAACCCTTCATAAATCCACAATAAGATGTCTGAGAAGACCTAGGAAACAATGTTGCCTGATGTCTTGGACTTTCACAGTATATGATTGTAACAATGAGTCTGGCCACTTAGAAAACAGTCATTTTTGCCCCTCCTTTGGAACTCCACTGTCTTTACAAACTGTCACTGGAGACTTAAATAAAGCCTTTCTGTTCTCAACATACATAAGCCTACTGCAAGCAGACACATGTGGCTTAAGGAAAGTCCTCTGACCACACGGAGCGCAGCTAATGTGTACATGATAAGAACAGGAATCTATCTCTCTTCCTAATGGCAACAGTGCTGTCTTGTCAGATGATTATTTGTCTTTTTTAAATAAAGTGACAATCTAGGGCTCCAGTTGTTGAATGCCGTCCATGCTCTACCATAAATCTCTAGTAGATATCGATTTCATCAGTTATGTACGGTATGCTTATAATATCTAAAAATAAAAAGTTTGATATAAATAAGTATCCTTTAGTGGCAGTATACTAAAAATAGCCCTTTGCCTTTAGTACAACCATTAACATCATTTTAGCAATATAGGCAGCAGCTAAATATGATAACTGCAAAGGGTGAATATTGCAAAGTCCGTTTGGTCTTTCTTTGCACCTGTTACAGCGAACGAGGTTCACTGCTTCTAGGATGCTGACATAAATGAACAGAGCCGGTCCAGAATCAAGTGGAGTCACTTACATTTCCCAAAGTCACAGGATTCTCTGCACAGAAACTAATAACCCAGTACCATTTCAGATAAAAATTTAACGCAGTTAGAAAAATGTGACTAAATCTGATTTGTACCATTTCATCAGGTGACATAAAAATGAGAGCATTTCCACAGGACAAGAAATTAGAAAGTGTAAAGTGCTGAAAGACCTCAATACTTATTGTAGAGCAGTACCAGAAAATTCCACTTTTGATTATTATTTTTTAAAAATCCCCAAATACCAAAAAAAACAACAAACAAAAACAACCAAGCAAACAATAACTTCAATGTTTTCTGGCATCCCAGATGTCAAATCATCCTTCATTTTAAGTAAAAAAAAAAAAAAAAAATCAGTGCATATGTTATATAGGTAAATAAAAACAGGAAATAAAGCCCTACCCTCATATTGCAAATTCTGTCCAATTACCATTTTTTTAAAAAGCAATCTGCATGTGGTGTTCTGAATGATGACATTAGAATATCTTCTCTCTTTTCTTCCTTTTTGGCACAAAATTCAGGTGTGAATAAGATGCTTTGGTCCTGATACCAGTCACCAGAGTGCTACGGACGGGTGCAGTGATGGCCGCTCACAGATCTCCTGTCTCCATGTTGATGAAAGTTGGCGGGGGTCCCGGGGGGGCACTGCTACCAGCGGCCACTGACACTCGCAATGTCCGAGTGGTACTGACGGGGCAGCCTCCCGCTGGCTCCACCTTCCAGGAAAGAGGTGCGTGCATTTGGCGGTTCGAAAAGCTTTCTCCGGTTTTTATTTAGTTCTAGAGAGAGAGAGAGAGAGAGAGAGAGAATTGTTAGAAACTCAATGGAGAACGTCTATAATCTATAGGACATGGCAGCCGAGCTCAGAAAATGGTGTGGTGTAGGTTTGGGGGAGGAGGGAGTCAAGTCTGGTAGCGAAAGGAAAACCTTTAGTTGACGGTCAAGACATTTCTGAAATGCTAGAAAGTCTGATATTAAAGGCAACATGTTGGTAGCCGAGAGAACCAAGGACAACAAGCGTTGTTATTGCAGTTTGTCAACTATCTGGGGGAGGTGTCATTCTCAGGATCCTCTAAACTCTGGATATACAAGTTGAGCAGGTTGACCTATCCCAATGTCACCTCAGAGGCAAAGGGATGAGGGGGACATCCATGCTGGTGAAAGGCACAGGAGAGCATGTATCACACCAAAGACACAGAATGTTACTACAGCTGTTGAGCTCACCCACGTCAAATACAGCAACCATTAAATTATTACAGTCAGACATGAAAAGACCCCACATCTACACAGGAGAATACTGGAGGAACACATGGCTGTGTTCGGCCCCAGCCCTGTGGCTCCACCAACTCGTGACACCTGTGATCCTTGGGCCAGAGGAGCTATATGAAGAAGCAGAGCAGCAGGAGCTTTCATTGAATAAAAAGTTAACTTAGTGAAAAATAGCAACCACTTCAGGAAATAGACAATGGAAAACCACCAATACTTTACATTTTTCGGGGAAATCTCAGGTGCTCAATTTTAAAGAAACCAGAGTACATAGAAAACAGTCTTTTTCCAACTAAAAATTATTAACCAGAAAGGGAAAAAACTGAAGCAGCCTACCTTGTTTATGACTATGCAACCACTCTATTCTCATCACCCCACATAAATGTATAAATCCTCATATCAGCTGATGGAACTCTTGCTGGTGAATTAATACAAGAAACAGGATTGTTGGCCTCTGATAGCCAGATATCTCCCAACGTATTCAATTTCAAATAGAGAGATTATATAGTTAATATGCTTAAAGTTGTCTTTTTTTGGGGGGGGGGGCGCAGGATGGAGCCAGTGATTGAGCACCTTATATTGGCACAGTATTCAGTTCCTTTTTAACCACACACAGGTACAACCCCCTTTGGAATTCTGAAGTTGCATTGCAAGCGATGGCTGGCTACAGTAATGCTGAGACGAAAAACATAGACCCATGTTGCAGGGGGTCACCGGTGGCCAAGGACAGCCAGATGGCCAGAAGTGCTCTGGTCTTCCAAGTTCTGGAAAATGGACCAACACCCTTGATATTTCACCTCACTGCCTTCTAAAACGTAAGTGTCTGCCCCGTGGGGGCAATGCATAAGCAGAGACATCTCTTTTTTGTTCACGTTTAGGTCTTTGGCGGGGAGAAGAAAAATGTCATGATTTATTAGAGTTTACATGACAAGCACTTTATATTTGTTTTGTTGTATTTAAGTCCTCCTTAAGGGGTAGATAATATTACCATTCTCCATTTTATAGATAAGGAAGTTGAGTTTTAAAAATAGTCTAAGTGCCCTAGCTTGTTTGGCTCAGTGGACAGAGTGGTGGCCCGTGGACCAAAGGGTCCTGGGTTCCAGTCAAAGGCACACACATACCTCAGTTGCAGGCTCCTCCCCGGCCAGGGTCCTGGTGTGCAGGAGGCAACCAATCGATGTATTTCTCTCACATAGGTGTTTCTCTCTCTCTCCCTCTCTTAAAATCAACAGAAAAATATCCTGAGGTGAGGATTTAAAAAAAAAACAAAGCAAGCAGTTAAGTGACAAGTGTTCACCCTGCCTGATGCAAAGGTCCAGGCCCTGGGCTGCAGGGCTCCATCCACTGTGCGAAGACCAACCAAAGCATCAGGAACACAGATTTGAGAAATTGGTAGTCCCACCTATGCCAGACAGCAGAGCTTTGCTTCACAGTTCATATGCCAGTTTTTTTAAAAAAAAAATAGAAAAAGGTAGCTTAAAAATTTTAAAGAAGCAAGTAAGATACCTTAACAAGCAAAAGACACATGCAGGCATGCTTACAGATAGCTACTGTATCAAGTTCCCACAGAAATTCAGAAATCAAGACAGAATTTAATATATTTAAAGGCAAGTATAGGAGAGTTAATAGATGAATCCTCTGAAGTGCACAGCCTGGGAAAGTTTTGTCACCTTCAAGTTGAAACACTTTGTTTGGCCTTCATTTTCTCGTGGGGGAATAACCCACGCACCAGGACACACACTCCCATACTATAGAGGAGGAAAGGCGTGAATGAGGTCAAACATTCTACTCCCTTATCCCACGGAACATGTCCAACTGAGCACACGAAAACCAATGGGCCAGTGAAGAAAACAATTTTTTCATAGACATTGAAAACTTTACTCTGAAAAGTCCTATCAACTAGGTTTTGGGAAGAATAAAATGACTGTGAAGGAATTCAGCCATTCCCTAAAGAATGTAATTTCTAAGATACAAATCTCCCAGAGAGACGCTCAAGGACCAAATCCTATTGAATAGACTTTAGCCTTTTAAATTAAAAAGCAAACTCTGTCCTTTATTTTTCCCAGTAAGCCTAAGGGATAATTGGGGAAATACCAACCTTTTTCTCTGAAATTCCAAGGGTCACACAATCCTGGCAGCTCTCAGGATCTTGTTGCGGATCTGAACAGAGTCACAAACTAAAAGAATAGGTCGGGAAATGTTAGATCTACCTGAGGCCTTGGCGGGAAGCCTGACAACAGGATGCTAAACGTCCTTTCCCTCAGTCCCTGCATATTTAGCTAACTACTTACGAAACTACTGAGAGAAATAAAAAAATTGTCAAAAAATCATGGATTTGAAGAAAAAATCATTTTTCTCTCTCATCCATTTCTACTTAGAGATTAAACCTCATCTCCTATAACACAAAAATACAATGTCTTGTGGCTCAAACTTAAAAACAGAACCAAACCTTACACTGAAAGAACTCTGATTATAAGTTTAAAGTTTTAAAAAGGAATTGTGAGCAAACTCTGTAACCACAAGGCCAACGCACGTCCAAGCTGCCCAGCTATCCTGCACCTACCTGGAAATGGAATGTTCTGAGGCTATAAATGGATGTGTTTGTTATCAAATGAGCTGAACTGAAAAAAGAAGGTTTTTGATGAAGGGCTTCTCAATAAAAACTGATTATTTGCCGAGAAAACAATTTACCAGGTTCAAACAAATGCAGGCAACAAAGTGAGGTGAAATCACTCTTAAAATAATCAAGTACTTCCTGCTGTGCAGAGCATTCGTAAGGCATCTTACTCAAAGTCCCGTTCCTGTTCACAGCAAGGACCTGTGAGTCCCACCGAGAGACCATCTACAGGAGCTATAACCTTAGCAGAACCACGCTGAAGATGATGATGGGATAAACCGTGTTTTTAAAGAGGACTCAAACCCCCTCCCTGCTGTTTCCCACTGAACTCCCCCAAACCCACCTGGAATAGATCACAAACGTGTTCCAAGTAAAGATGGTAACAGTCCAGCTGGAGCCCTTGGCAGTATTTAGAGATAGCTGCTTGTTGCTGGAAGCCTTACAGAGTTTGGAAGTGGGTTGGTACACAAAGAAAACTGAACTTTCATTTTACTGTCACCGGCATTCCATGAATCTCTAGAGAAAGATTATGGAGTTCTAGAACACACTCTTCTCTTCTAAAATGTGCTGGCCCACAGGCATACTTTAATATAAGCGTGGTGATTCTATGAGTTAATCAAATTTCAAGTATAGTGTAAATTCCATTTTCACATTAATGGATGAATGCGAAAATATGTAAAGTAAATTCAGTTCTAGGTATAGCCCTCTGCGGTGGAGCTTTAGGGTAAACAAGTTAAAAAAACAAATTACCCTATTTACCCAGACAATAACAAAAAACAAACGGGGAGGCCCCTGCTATTCATATATGCACCACGTGGAAGGATAGATGTAGAAATAGAAGGTAACTTCACAGGATCATCTATTCCAATCTACCTTCATGGTTTTGGAAACTCGCCCAAGGACTCACGCGTTGGCAGAGGCAAAGCCCAAATCTCCTTGTTTGAATACAATGTTCTTTGGACTGTGTCAAGCTGATCTTATGAGCGCAGAAGAAAAAGTGTCAGCCCCATGGAGCTCCCTTAATGCAGCCGCTTGGGGACACAGAGTGGAGGAAGACGTCCCTAATCATGGATGCGTGCAGAACCGTGTTGATCCACAGAGGACCCAACAGGCTGCTCGATGGCTGAATCTCCACCCCGGATTCAAAGCCGCTCCGCTTATGTCTGCTGCAGATATTAGGTCTATAGATAAGATGTCCTGTGGGGAAGTGGGTGGGGGATGCAATCTGCTGCTAAAACAAAATGGAAAACCACTGAGGTTTAAATTTTACTTGCTGATCTGATTAGTGACTGCTGTTTGCAAAGGACTCTCACCAGCTGGATGCACCTGCTGGCCTCAAAAAGGCGCAGCCTGCAGCTTCAATGTTCTGAAAAAGCCAAGTCATATTCCCACCACACCCCACCCCTGGCTTTTGCCCTTGGTGTCTACGTTTTTGAAAGATGGACATTCATCAGACAGTCTTCAAAAAGTAACCCAAAGTTTGACCCCCTATTTCTTCCTCATATTTCTCAAAACACCTTTTGGAGGTACACTGTTCTGTATTTGCCGACTCCTGACTCATCAGCTGGCTCAACTCCTTTCAAATAGGAGGTCCCCAGTAAATATGTGTAGAGCATTTTGTAATACATAGAATATGAAACCACTGCATACAGAAGGCAGTCTGGGAGACAGACAACATTATTTTCCTTCATTCTGTGACTAATTTCAGGATCCTACATCCTTCTGTGACTCATAAATTTCGTGAAAACTTTAGTAAAAAAAAATAAAATAAAAAGCATTCAGACAAGTAATACCTGCCAGTACCACGGAGCATTCACCTCTGCAATGACCTCTGTTGGTATACAAGCACACATGCACTTGAAACACGACAGCCAGTCCAGAATCATTATTCACTAACCCAATGATCGCTGCTGAACACAACAACAAGAAAGGAGAATTGCGCTGCAACCCCTGGCTCACGTTCTGCAAAGGGCAATTTTGGTTAGATCTTTCTGGAGAAATCTGTTTTAAGGAACGATACTGTCACAGCAGGTTTTCAGGCGATGTCTTGATGAAAGAGGGGATGTTCTGAGCATTGGTCATACTGTTAGCAGGAAGCACTTTGAAACCACAGCCACCAAGGTGCCCAGCAAGTGGTAAATGGGTCAAACCAGCCCCACTGGCAAAAGTTATTCAGACTTAAAATATGAGTGTGAGCATTTATATTCACCTGAGATTGCAAGCAGCATTTTCCTCCTGGCACCAAAAGTCGTAATTCCCAGCTCCTTCAGATCCTGATCTGTGAGAGTGAGGAATGTCTGAAGATCGATCTGTGGGTGAAAAGGTAATCTATAACCAATATACTAAGGATTTATTTTCTTCCTCACTGTAGGTTCAATTCCTTGTCACACCTACTTTATTTATTAATTATACTCTGCCTACTTCCAAAAAAGAACAGTGGTGTCACAAACCTAAGGGACAAGAGTAAAGTAATTAAGGGGATGAAACAAAAGTGATTATTCTATCAGTAGACTTAGACTAAGCCAGCGATTTACTGCACGTGAGATTAAAAACTTAGATCTGAGCATCCTGGAAGCCGGGACAAAAAGGGAAATACAAATTGTACATTTGTGTGTGTGTGTGAATTGATAAAAGGAAGGATACATATCTGCCCAGAAGAGAGAAACTATTTCTTAGCTTTGACTGAGTTAAGTATATCTGTATAAAAAGAAGCCGAATTATAAATATCATAGATGGTATCTTCCACTGTGTTTTACATGAGAATGACAGAGGAATTCCCAGGCTTCATCAGACCCATGACCCACTTGGCTGGGCCTGGCAGACAAGAATCTTTCCAGGAACAGTAGAACTGTGCTCTGTGGCATCAGCAACGAAGTGTGGAGGGCAGCTAGCTGAGGATCTCATCCCGCCCTGGAGACAGTGTGGAAGAAGAGATGGGCCTTGGGCTCCAAAGGCAGAGAGAGATGGGTTCAGATTCTGACTGTGACAAGACTTCTGTGTGCACACAGGTTGAGTAGTGTACGGGCAGGGCTTTTGTGGGCATTAAAGATGATTGTAGACATAAAGCCAAGGGCTCACCAAGAGGATACAAGAATGGGCAGCTATGGCTGATAACAACGTATACAGAAATATCTGGGAAAGTTGCTAAATAAATCTCACAAGGTTAGTTCATGGGCGATTCTTATTAAGTTATACCTGAATATTGGAAAATATCCTAAATAAAGGAAGCAGTATCAAATTTCAACACACCTGAAAATAGTAATGGATACTTTTTCGAGAAATTAATTTGAAATTATGTTTTGATTTAGAAGTTACACCCAGATCTTGTAAAACCTTTTTGTTTTTCATTTATCATAGATCTAAAGCTATGTTGTTAGAAATTCTATTTAATGGAGACTAAGAATTTGGGGATGCCTGAAATAAAGGGCCAGACAGTAATTATTTTAGGCTTTGTGGGCCATATGGACTCTGTTGCAACTACTCTCAACTCTCCTGTTTGAGCTCAAAAGCAACCACAGACAAAATATAAATGAAGCTGTGTTCCAACCAAAACTCTAGCTGACAAAATCAGGCAGCAAGTCTGCAGGCTGTAGTCTGCTCTAAGCTAATAAATGTGAAATAAAGCCAGCCACCTTTGTTTTATATGATCATATTTTCTTCCTTTTTGAAATAAGTGGATAAGAAGTACCTATAATAAATTTATTTCTATGATTCTTCAAATAAGTACTATAGATTAAAAAGAAACCCTGAATGTTACTGAATAATATCTAATCTCACTTGGAAACCTTTTGTTTCTGGACAAGTTAAAAAATACCTCTGCCCTTAAACTTCTCAATCAGCCACCCTCATCTAAGCAGCAGGACTAAATAAGTGCAATTCCTTGATGCACTGATGATGAAAATGTTATTCAACTCACAATATCCTCGGTTAAATTTAGAACACTAATTATCCAATATACACATTATAACCTTTTTGGTATTATATACAAAAAAAAGTTCAGCAATCAAACTTAAGTTATTGAGCTATGGGCAATACCTTAAATTTATGATACAAAGCACTAAATAAAAATTCTAGATTCTTCATTCACTGATTTGGGAATTACTGACTTAATCAGATAGTCTCTAAGATGCTAGTGTCAAACTAGAATTGAATAGATACATTAATGGAACTATTCTAACTCCCTGCTGCACTGGGTTAGCTGTGCCTGGGTAAAATGACAGCATTATCAGAAAGAGTCACGCTCTGTTCTCTACACCAGAGCATAATGGCCATGGCTGAGCAGTTAGACCAAATCCATGGTAGAGATGGTTCAGAAAACATCTCAGTTTAGGCAAAAGCCAATCAGTAAATTAAAGAATAAATGAGCATGCAGAAAAAGTACATTATACTCTGTGAGAACAGACTTCAGTAACGTGAGGAGGATGGGGTCAGAAACAACCACGCATTCATTTCAGGTACTGGTATTTAAGTGCCACAAATAAAGATAATAGTTTAAAGTGTGAAATCACATTAAATACGGACTTGTTGCTGACCTTGAGAGCAATGAATCAATACACTGTTTAGCTAAAATTGTTGAAGGGGTGTTTTTGTGAACACACATCCTGTGTTTACTAGTTGCACTAAATAGGAAATGAGATCACGTTTTTCTTAGCAGCAAAAACAAGCTATGAGACTTGAATCCATGCTCAGTGAAAACAGTCACAGGTCAGTGAGGGATTTCATTCTAGAAGTCGTCATACACAGAACCCAAACGAAGATGGGGGGTGGGGGGGGAGATGAGTAAACAATGACTGACCTCTTGCTGCTGGAAGACGTCTGTGTATTTGCCCAGACCCAGTTTGCTGAAGAGCTCGGGGAGGTCAGAGCCTTTGAAAGAGCTGTTTAGGTTACAGCCATTGCTTCCTGTCAGCGAGGAAATGCAGTCCATGTAATTGCTGCTGCTGAGATAGTGTTCCGCTGAAGGGCAAACGAGAGACAGGCTTGAAGTGCAAATGCCCGGAGAGAACAAGGTTTAATTAAAAGTTTTAATCCCTCCAATATTTCAGCTTCATTGCTGGGCTGAATAGAACTGTAGCTGCAGAAGCAGAGCAATCCTTTACGGAGTGAAACACTGGCTTTTCATTAACGAAATGCCGGTTATTGCTTTCAGAGAGGCTCTTGCCATTTATAAGGTTACACTTGGGAGGCAGCAATTCAGCAACAGTGCCTCTGCAGTTAATAATCATTAATCACTTTCTCATGGAGCATTCAGAAGCATTTGCTCTTTATAATTGATTGCGTGTGAATTAAGTGAGGAATCGGGAGGAAGACCCTTGGGACATAATTAAGGTGCAGAAAGGTACTGCAAGTCCAGGCTCCTTTCGGATGGCTCTCTGCCTCCACACTTGTGCTCACCTGCGGTCAGAGGGATTCTGTAATAGTGTACCACATAAATCCCCTTCCCTACAAAAATATAATTGGGCCGTAAGCTCACAAAATAGAGTACTTCCAACATGAAGAGTACCATGAAGTGAGACAGAAACGCTGCTGGAGTTCCCGGATTTCATTTAGGACAGAAACAAATCGGTCTCTTGAGAAAAATTCTCTAAGACAGCAATGCTGAGCTTTGCTTGGCTCAGAAACTGATTTATGGGTGAAGATCTCTCCACATTGTGTATAGTTCTCAGGCCCAGTGACATGCACAGCTGGGTGATGGCCTCGTGAGCCAGGCCAAGTAGTTGACCAAATATTTAAATACTCTTCAAGATCTGCTTTGGAGATTCTAGCAGAGCTGTGCAGCCCATATCCCCGGCCAACAACTGGCTCTTGTCCATGTAGGGATTCAATCCTCTGACACCAAAAATGCAGCCTCACAGGGGATTCCTAGGGAGAGAGGGAAGGAGGACACTCACCTGACCAGTGAGGTCCACCTCATCTCCTCTGGGGTCAGTGGCTTCACCAAATCTAAGAATTACGTTCTGCACTGTTTTGGGTGCCACTACTAACTTCCTTCAGTTGTTTTTATCTCCCAATGGAGGAGTCCTTTATCTCAAGTGGAAGGAATTTCTTGATAAGAGTTCTCTTTCTCTTAAAAACAGATGTCTTATCTCTTATGGAGAGAATGTGACGAAAAAGGATCCAGAACCAAATTCAGGAGGCCTTCGGCCCTGGACCACTCCACCATTTGGAGGTAAGGCCCCAATGTCGCCAGAAAAGATTGAGAGAGAGTGACCAGTGACGTACTGGGTCAAGGGTGATGCCAAGCAGGATATGATGGGCACAATGAAGTGACCATTGGACTTGACAACATGGTAAGTTTACCATATAATTGTCCAAATGATAAATTTACATTTTTGAGAGTAAAAGCGGGAGTTATTGAGAATTAACACTGGAACAACTGGTATAAACAGGGATGCCTGGAGAAAACCTAGCCATTGGTAATGCTGACGAGGGTGTAAAAAAAATTACTTAAAACTGAGCTGTTCAGTACAGTAGCCATTGGCTATACTAGTATGTAGCTATTGGCAATTAAAATGTTCGGTAAGTGTGAAATATACACCAGATTTTAAAGACATAGTATAAAAAAGAATGTAAAATACAAAAATATCTTTATGTAGATTACATGGTTAAATAATACTTGGCATATATTGAGATAAACAAATTCATTAATAAAATGTGACAAAAAAGATGTCCTAAAATATTCTTAGTGATATCTGTTAGTGTACATTGTTCCTTTTTATCGTAACTACTTAAACTCCCTATTCTCTTAAAACATCTGACAAAAGCAAAATAACTGTTTCTTTAATGATTCCCTTTTATTAAAGAATCCTGATATTTTATCCCTAATCCCCATCTAAGTTTACTGACAATTTTAATTATCCAGCATCAAGTGAAGGGAAAGGAGAGGCACAGGACTAATTTATTTTGGACTACAGGACAGAGGTCACTTCCACCTCTAGACCTGCCTGGCACCAGCCGCCTCAGTCCGCCCCCCTATCAGTGATGGAGGACCCAGCCCCCGTCTCCAGGAAGGGCCCAGGCGCCCACAGACAGCGCACAAGGGCATGAACGAGTTGACCGTGCTCTCTAACTGAGACTTGGCCGACCCCAGACCGGTATTCTCAAATCGGAGACCCTCGACAGCACAGCAACTTGACTGATGGTAACACCTGACTTACTGAGTGACTACTGTGCTCATTTAGATGGCTTTTAAGGAGCCTTCAAATACTGCACGCTCTGCGTCTCAGGGCTTCCAATTCGTCCCACACCCTGAACGAAGGCATGTATTGTGATGACTATTGCCAGTTCTCATCTGCTCACCTTTTTACACAGCCCAGCAGTGTGGGTGCTGTTACAGACAAACCACAGGACTCATGCTGAGTCTCAACCGTATCTTTTTAAAGCCAGAACCCTTATGCTTTAAAGATAAATTAAATTTACATAAATTCAGCTACATCTTGTCCATTTAACATATCAAATGCTGCTTTTCACCTTAAGGAGCTACCTACTAAGCAGACTTTCTTCTGTTGTCCAAGATGCTAATCTGAACACAGTCTGCTCCACATCTTCCTGTCCCTGCCTTTTCCGGATGAGAGAAAGCATTTTCTGAATGTTTGTGTGTGTGTGCGTGACTCCTTCCTATATTCATTCAATAAGCATTTACTGAGCACCTACTAGGTGTCACACACTGTCAGACATTTGGGAAGAAATAACAAATCAGGCACAGCCCAACAGAATGCCTGGCATGTGGGCATTTAAAAAGTGTTCACTGAATGAATAAATATGGTCCCTGGCTGTGGCGCTCAAATTCAACAGGAGACAAGTACATACACAGGTAATTACATTCTAGACAAGTGCATGACAGGTGCATGAGTAAAAGCATGTACAAAATGCGGTGAAAGCAGAAAACCACCTGGTCTGCTTCCCCGGGGAAAAAAAGGAAGGCTTCCCAGAGGAGGTGGCCTGTGAATTATGACAAACACTTGAAGGCACGGAGTGCAGAATTCATCCTTGAGCATCACCCTCAACCAAATAAACAAATTGCACGCTGATTACACCTAAAAGTATGATTAAAAGTCAAAGCTCACTTGATTTGTTTTGTTTACGCTTGGGGCTGCCAATAGAAGCTGCAAATTCATTATGGCTGGCAGGTCCTATTCCATTTCGGTCTCTCCAGTTATCAGATTCGCTTCCACTTCCCAAGTGCTCACGGCTGTTGGACCTCGAGAGGGACACTGATGAGCCCTGTCGACAAGGAAAGCCAGACAA